GGGTATGAAGTGTGGTAATTGCTTTAGAATAAATTTATTTGTGAATGTGTATGGCTATGTGTATGTTCTAATAAACAGAGACCAAAGGAATGTGTGTGTGTGTAAATGTGTGACTATGCGGGCATTTTATAAAACAGAAGCAGAGACAATAACTAGATCTTCAAATAGCGGTTTCATGCAAAAGTATTGGAAATTTTTTTATGATTTTCCTAGGACAGGAATGAATTTCTTTGTGTACTGAGCAAGCACACAGAAATTACTACTCAAAGCACAATTTTAATATATGCAAGATAACAAGCAAAAGGAAATGCTTTTAAAAATGAGAAATAAAACAGCTTTCACATTTCTCTAGGAAAATAATTCTGTTTATTGCTAGAACTGACTCTGAGTCCTTACTAAATCAATCAAAATATTAGAGGAAACTATTAGAAAATTGATGGAAGAAGGAGGAGAAAATGAATGCAATCTATAGAGGATGTAATTTTTTTGAGAATTTAAGGTGAAATTGTCAGCCCAAAAGATCAGGCATTGTAGATTAAATTAGCAAAAATTACTATTCTTCCTTGGGTGGGGGGTGGGATGGAAAGCTCCTATTTTATGTTAAATTCTAGCAAAGAATTTCCTGGACTTGAGATCTCAGCCCTCAGCATGGAAGCAGAGAAGAGGAAGCATATTGCTGTGTGCTCTGCTGTATCTCTGTCAGTGGGATGGGGTGGTGGATGCTGGTAATTTATTTTAGAAAATTTAATGAATCAATGACTAAATAGCGTTTGAGTTCTGTGATGATCAGTAGTGTCCTGGAGACCTCCAGCAAACTCTGCTGCAGACCAATGCTATGACTCCTGGCCCCCATGTGATTCCTTCCCCAGCCTAATTCATTTAAAGATGGTGCTCCCATCTAAACACTTCCATGGTGGTTATTCCTACTACATCTCAGGCATTGGTCCATTCACACCTCCAAGAATTATAGCGTATGCTCATTTACAGTTTATTGGAGAAAATGTCTGAATTGAACTTAACCAACGAGATAACTGTATCAGACAGGCTTTTCTTGTACTTAACTGTACATGTGGTATATCACTGAGGCATTTTGTCCCTTCTAAGAATCTTCACCTCTAAAGTTACTGTTTAAAGAGGAGGGCAAAGTTTCTAAGGATATTTCTTGTTTACAAGTTTTATAATTTAGAGTTATGAAATCTACATATAATTTCTATGCAAATTAGAGCTCATCTAATTAGGTAGTTTTTTTTTCCTGAAAACTTATTGAAACAGTGGTTTCAATGAATAAAGCTACAAAAATAGTCAAAGAATCTGTTTCATTGGACATGAGATACTTCTTGTATAATTTATGTGGTTTTACAAACTTTAAGAACCTGAGGAGACATGTAGAAGCTTACTGAAAAGCTAATATTATGGCTATGCAATAGGCTGGATATAAAAAAAATTGATTTTCAGTTCCATCTCTATGAATCTCCTTCTACTCGCATGACATCTATGACTCAACTTCAATTCCATATCTTATACTTAAGATGAGGATAAAGAAAATTTTGCAGGATTATTGAAGAACATCAAAAATGTAATGTACAAATTATATGTGGCCAATATATGGCCCACATACGTATTTTTGTTTGCTGATTGTGTAATAACTTTTATTCTCTTGGTTTAAGAGCACTTGGATTTGGAGTAGTTAAGAGTTAAACATTGCAAAGGGTGTGTGAAAGAATTGCAAAACATTTTTTAGCCAGTTTTGTAGAGGATCTGGTTTTCTACCAATAGAGCACATCAAAAGTTGCATGCTGGATTAACTAACCTTTGTGCATAAAAGAACTTCAAGTGTTATTTGAAAGAAATACAATGTGATTTCTTAAAAATATTCATGGATATTTTAAAAAAGAAAATGTATTTAAACCTTTTAATTATAAAATTTTCTATATTTACATAGACATAAAACTTGCTTTTCAGATTCTATTTCCTTCATTCATTTCTAATGTTATTTTTAATTTTGACATCTGGAAGTTTTAGATTAGATTCTATTCTATCATTACCTATGGACAGGGTAAGTAAATTTTTTGTATAGTTGCAATCATTGATAATTTAAATTACAAGAAAGTGTCAAGAAACAAGTGCATGCATTTTAACAAATCACAATTCCTTTTTTTATTCCTTGTATCATCCCTCTTCTCCTCTCCTTCCATCTCTTGATCCCCTTCCTTGACAAGGAATGTAAGTATTATGCACTGCAAATATGTAACAAAAGAAAGAAACAAACAAACAGAAACAAAACAAAACAAAGGAAGGACATCAAGGAATGGATGGAAGGGAGAGGGAAGAAAGAGAAAGGGGACGAAAAAGGCATTAGGGCATGTCATGTGCTTGCACAATTTCCTGAAATGAATGTAAACATTATGTACTACATACATGTTTTAGTAGACTAAATTAAAAAGCAAAAAAATATAAAAAAGAAACATACACAAACATGCGTTACTATCACTGAGAATAATGTTATAACATTCTAACATTTGAATCATCTGTAATTTAAAATTTTTAAAAGGAAGGGGGCATTAATTTAAGTTTGTTTTCCTTTTCTAATAGGCTTTCTTTGATAGTCTTAGCCTAGAACTACAGAGTATAAAAATGTGTAATTTGTGCAGAAAGAATAATATTCCCTAAGAAGAACAGTAATTAAAAGACAATTATTTATCATGCAAAAATCAGATTCAGAAACAAGGAAATTGGTGTAAAAGAAAAAAAGATACAAAATTCCTTAGAGTGAGATCCATTTTATGTGACAAAGGATTTCAACTAGGAAATCAGAGCCTGAAAGGTGCTTCGTGTATCCAGAACTGAACTGGTCAGAGGACTAAAACCTACATATGTGGAAAATGCTGCAATGCCAAGGAAATGGATTAAAATATAAAAGGTTTTTCTCATTTTTGATGGCCAAATTCCACCATGTAAGCAGTGCATTAGACGCTAATGACATATGATTTCTCACTGACAGATTTAACAGCATCAATAAGGCCTCTCTATCCATTGCAGCAAATTGATCCTACATGACACTGACAAGGGCAGCCTGCACTTAATGACCTCCATCGCTGAAGGATGGAAATGAAAAATGATTGGAAGTACAAATAAATCTTGGAAAGTTTCCCTGAAACAGGTGTGCTAAAAGTGATTCGTTTGAGGGATCACAAACATAAACCCACTTTCTTAGCATCCTCTATTGTAGGTCGGCTCATACCAGGGCCTCCTTCTCTTATACTTTGTGATGTTTTGCTTTAATTCAATAAATGAGATCAAGTTAGTTTTGTTCTTACCATGGAAATATGATTCTGTTTATTTCTTCTAAAACCAGAGAGTTTTTTCTTAAAAGTTATGGTTCTCTACTATCTATGCAAATGTCTAATGTATTTTTTGTTCACCCAAATGATTCAGGATAAACTATAGCATGTGTTCACACTATTTTTTTGCTTTTCCCATGTTTGAAAAGGGAAATTCAGTATGGCCATTGATGATTTTCTGTTTCATAATTATCAACCACACTTAGAACATGTTTAATTTCAGAAAAGATGTCAGATGCATAAAATGAATAAATAAAAAAAAAAAAGATCCACAGGTACCAAACACATTTTCTTTCAATCCTGTGTAAGAAGGTAGCAAGATTTGGGCTGTTGATTGTATTCTCAGCTCTTTCCCAAACACATTTATTTCTTGATCTACTTTTATCTTAAATTATTTCAATACGAGTTTATAAAGGGAAAAAATGCATTCTCTCTCCAAATATACTACATTTGGAAGCTTTAACTCTCACACAATTAGGTGGGTGAGAAACACAGAGAGCTGATAAGCACCACGGCAATCAGTGTAATAATTATTTATACTTGCATAGCTTCCCTTTACTCCCAAAGTAATTTCAAATAGGGCTCTTTTTTTTTTTTATTCTTGACTAATTACCTTGTGGGACAAACCTTAGTTTACAGATAAAATGGAGTTTGGGAAGGGCAAATAACTTCCCAGTACAACTGAGCTAGTGACTGATAGACCTTGCCCTGAATGCCTTGTCTTCTGTTTTCCTCATGTTCCAAAATTAAGAAAATAAATACAGACATGGGTTCTAAGCTGTACTTTATACATAATACTACAGCATTATAGATAATTGCATAGGAGAAAAGGTCCATAAGAAGTACACTGGTTTATGTGATCAGATAAATAGTTAAAAATAATCATGCTTCTATTTCTTTAATTTCAAAATTTGGGGACAAAGATGTCAATGAAAATTTTATTTTGTCACTAATTGTCTGAAGAAGGCAGAAGTGGATGCATCTTAACACTTTTATAATTGCAGCATTTTCTTTCTTTATCATTTATGGTTTACTTTATGTTTTACTTTTCTACTTTAACCATCACAGGAGAGTCTAAAAAATACATTTGGAATTCCAAGAGACTTCCAAAAATTAGAAAGAGTTATCTATTATTTCAAGTTTTTAATTAATCTTCATCTTGAGAAAATAACCCTCTCAAATGAGAAACTAACCTCCCAACATTTAGAACACATGCAGTAAAAGGAAAACTTAGAGGCCCATTGTGGGAAGTCACCTACACTTAGAATTTAAATTTTAAATCTTAAGTCTGGAAACTATAATGAATTGGATACTTTTGATCATAGAAATTAAAAGCAAATTAATATAACATGGAGAATTTGGAACTAAGCTTTACATTTCTCAAAATTTTTTTTCAAAATCAAGTTTCAAAATGTTTGGATGTAGCTCAGTGGTACCATATTTTTAGCCTAAGTGAGGGCCTGAGTTTGCACTACAGCAATGAAAAAATCTTAATAGGACTATACAACAAAAACCAAAAAGAAACATACAACAAAGAAACAACAAGCAGTTATTTGGTGCATAAGGACCATTATCACATTAAGGAGCCCCAAGCCAACTACTTTTTATAGCATACAAGTCAAATAAACCCCTATTTAAAAAAAGTATAAAAGCCAATACCTGTTTCTTATCGCTAACGGCAGCCTCAAGTGGTAGCTGTTTATCATATACCTTGAAGAAATTATCCTTTTCTGTTAAGAAAGTAGTCTGCATCTTTTGATACTCTTGAGCTAAACGTAGATTTTCTGCCAGTGAGTCTTCTTGCAATTCCTAGAGAATAAATAATATGTATATAATTGAAACATTTAAATTTGTTTGAATTTCTCATATTTTAAATTATCTGAAAGTGTTCATATATATATATATATATATATATATATATATAAAGACCAGAAAAATTATTCTTTTTACAGTAGTACCCTCCTTGGATTTAGTGATTTCCTTCTTGATGCAATTTTCTTTCTTTTTCTTTTACATTGATACACGTGATTTGCAAGTTTTTCAGCCTTTTGCTGCGGATCTTCCACGTGCCTGTTCCCACATCTCCCTCTTTCATGTCTTCATCAGTTCTGGGAGCCTTCATCCAGCTTTCCAGGGACCTTCATCAGTGGTCACACTCTTTTCCATTCTTTTAGCCCCTGCGTTCAAACAGGTGGCAGGCAATTTGGTGCTTAGATTTTGGTTCTTAAAAGGTTCAGAGTGATGGCATTCACAGAACATATTACAAGCAGGAGGAAAGAATGGAAGACAGAGTAGAGAATTTAATATTTAAAAACACCCAAAGCCATTATTTGGCATTCATATTTTGGCTATATTAAATCTCAAATCTGCTTTTGTGAGTAGCTGAGAACTTTGTGATAAACTCCTGTGATTAAACAAGTATGTGTCAAATATAGTACAAACTTGTAGAGAACAATTTTGCATCCTTATCCATGGGTAAACTTGGGGCTACTTGTCATTTTAAGTTAGGTACATAAATTCAGTTTAATGATTCCTGCTATATTTTTTGCATAGAAAATTTTCTCTAGTTGCTTCAAAGCTATGGAATTTATCCATAGCCTTAAATATTTTCAAAATTGTTTTTGAAAAGTTTGCTAATTTTTCTTTAATTTTAAGCCTGTTATACTTAAAACTTTATTCATGGCTATGTTACAGTAGTGAAGTTCCATAAATGCAGATTAATCATAGTGACAAATTATGACCAAATTACTAGATGCAAAAATAATCATTATGAAGCAATTAAAAATGTTTCTTTGTGAAAACTTCCATAACAAGAAACCCTTAGCATGTCATCTAAAAATATATACAGTGTAAGAATATTCATAGAGAAAATGCAATTCAGCACAAAATTACTTGTACAAATATTTCCGTATTTACAACTTTGAAGATTCATTTAGGCAGTAAACATAGTTTTCATAAAAGCCTAGTATTCATATTGGTTTCTAATGATTAATGATATGTAGCAAATGTTCTTTAAAAAGGCAAACTGAGGAACTGAGAGCCATTTTATGTTATATTATGCCTAATTATGGCATAATAATTTAAAACTTTAGAAATTTAAATTTTGTAAACTTGCCAAAAAATCATATAAAGTTATTTTTTTATTAGAAAGACAAACTTCTATGAATATTTTCCTTTTGGTGGAGTTAGCATTTTAAAGATGAGGATTTTTGTAACTTTTGCTACCTTAACACAAATAGTAAGACCTACTTCTCAAATAACTCACTAGAAGCACTCATAGATGTTATACTGGAACACTTTGAGAGTTTTGTTGAATTGATGTAACATAAGCAAAACTCACATTCCACTTTTCAGTTACATTTCTTTCAAGTCTGAAGTGGCTACCACAAATATTTAATTTGAGAAGAGTGCTACAAATGTTGTGAGATTTTCATTAAGCCTACTTAATGGAACTTAATTTATGATTTGTTCACCATGCAATGTATAGTTCTATTTCCAAGTACGTATATTTTTAATTTATGAATGACACCAATTCTTACAATTTTATGTGCTCTAATTGTGGTAGGTTATCAATAAATCAAACTCTGTATGCCAGTGAATCCTCAAAACATATCATAATATTTTACAATATAATTTCCTACTAATGAATGCATAGATAATCTACCAATGCACTACCTAGTCCTGAAAGTCAGTGACCTTTTGATGTGCAATGAAATTTAAGTTTTTAAAATTTTAATAATAGTATTCTGCTGACACTGAAAGTGATTTTTTATGTTTTACCATGGTTCCACCTCACAGCTCTGACTCGTTTAATTTTAACCAATAGTGTAATAATATGCAAATTAAACAAAGAGAGAATGATAATTATTGGTGGAAATATATCTGGGAGAAATAATACTACCACTGCTGAAAGTTAAACAGCTCATGAAAGGATAGCAATAGAAGGGTATTTAAAATGGGCACAAAAGTGGAAGTTAGGGATATAACTTAGGGATAATAATGGGCTAATAAGAGAAGTAAGATGACTTCAAGCTTTTCAGTGTAAATCTAGTTGAACCTTAGTAAAATCTTTCAAGTTTTACCTAAATGTGAACTTGAAATATGCACTTTTTGATTTAAATGCATTAATGAAAAATTGATTCCAATTGCTTTAAACTAAAATAACTACTTCTTGAGTTGATTTATAATATTATTTCATTCATTCATTTGTTCATTAAATTTTTTATTAAACTCTTTTTGGTAAATACTTTCTATAACACTTTGAGATATAATGCTATGTCTGAAATAATTTGTAGCCTTGGAAATATTTTTAGGAAAAGCACAAAAAATTGTGATTTAGAATGTAGATTTTTACAACTTTTGTACTTTTTCCCCAAGTTTATTAAATTTAACCAAAATTTCTGAAGTGTATAGAACTTTCTTAAAGCTAGATCTATAGCTATTTCTTTAATAATGATTGAAAAGATAAAACATTGGGATACATCTTTTTAAAGAGACACAGTGTATGTCTGTTAATAGTTTACCATTTAGAATTTAGTGAGGAAAAAGTTTCAGTAGATGATGTTTGCTGTCTTTCATCTCAAATTTTTTGTCAATCATATGGAGATATGACACCTTATCCAATACTTTACTAGGAAATAAAAGATATTTATAAATGGGGGAACAAAAGATAATTTGTAAATTTCAATAAGGCTAAAACCATCCTTTGGATATGCTGGAGAGAACAGAGTTGATGTAAGTAAGTGCACAGGTTTTCAGCCAAAGAATGAATTCATGAACACATATATTATTCATTAGAAAATGCATTTTACCTGTTAGAACACAAATTTAATTTGCCAGTATCTAGTTAAGGGACTTTATATTAGTTGATACTTTATTATTTGAGAAGTAAAAATCTTAAGTATATACAGAAGTATATGCACCACAAGATTATCCTGACACTTAGTATCATGAGTATCACAAGTAACTATTTTACACAATGAAATTCTGATGTATTTGTTATATAACCCTAATAACTGAAATTCAAGCAACATATGCAATTTGCACAGTTATTAAGTGGAGGAGAGGGATTTTACAACCATGGAAGATAGCACCAGCTCCCACACTCCTCACTATATATTACATTCCTTTATGAACAAGGCCAGCATTCTTAACACTATGAATGCTATGTTCACAAAGGCCTAAAGACTCAAATTAAATCAAATAACTGATTTCTCTTATTCTGAGTCCATTTCCAGTAAGAAACTGTTTTATAATAAATCTTGCTAACACCTAACTTGTTGACATAGAAAAGTGAGCAGATAAGAGAAATTAGAACTGAGACCCCTGAAAAGTCTTCTTTACTGTAAGCCAACATGGGTATGTTGATTATAATGTAATCTGTCTCTTTTGCCTTTTGATCTGCCTGATGCCTTATTCCATGATGTGGCAACCCTTGATATATTCACTAGCAAGATCAATTGCATTGACTCAGTGCCTTCAGAGCTCTGGAGAAAGGTTGATTACAGCAGAGTACTGCTACCACTGAGGCCAGTGGGGGTGTATCTGGGACACTTACCTTGGGGACAGCCTAAGTCTGCCTGAACTAGTTTGAAAAGTTTCTCGTGTCAAGGAGATATAAGAAAAATTCTTGATTTAAACATCTTAGAGAAATTTTATGATTAAGATATGTGAGTGTACATACATGTAGAAAATCCACACAGCCATATCCAAGTACTTCACTATCAATAACATCATCATGGCATCTACAGTTAAACAGAGAAATATATCACCTCTGCCCTGCGACACTCTTATTATTGGCATTCAGATCCAGCTCTCCAGGCAGAGGGCCTCTGACCTTCTTTCGACTACATGTTGTAAGAGTTGCAATCTTCTGACACAGTTCTAATCCTGACCTTCCTGCGCAATGTAATTATCTGCTACTATCTCTACTGATCTTTTCTGATGATCTATCTATCATGTTCTGATTCTTGGCTAATAACAGTACTCTGCGGAGAGTTCTTTGCTATCTTGCTTCTCACTAGGGTTCTTCTTGCTGTTACTCCACGTCTGGCCTAGATTGCACTATAGACTTTAGATCGTGGCTGGAAAGAATGACCTCCTGCTAGAGTCACCAGGAAGAAAAGTTTCTAAGACTGCTGTGTATCGATTAATTTTACTCCAGAGCAACCTCCCAACCAGCTTTCATTCACTGTTATTCACTGAATCACATGGGTCCAACTCTGTAACTAGCCCAGGGAATAAGGCAAACTATCATCTTCTGCATCTGAGATTACAAGCTAGAGTGGAAAAAAGCAGAACAAGTTATTTAAGGTACTATGAAGAAGCAGTAGCAGGGATGCCTTCACAGAAGAGATGATATGTGACCAAATCTTAGGAATAGTCATTTTATTTGGTAGAGATCAAAGCTTCTCTGCCATACAGGCAAAATATATTCAGCTGATCTGGAGGATTCACAGTCAAGAGAAATGTTTCCCTGGGTACTGATGATTGCTTCCTGACTTGTGAACTAGACTTTTGAAGACCATATTATATGCTTGGCTACCTATGTGTTAAAATATTACTAACAGTATAAACAATCAAGGTACTCACACATTTAGTATCCTACTAATGCATCACGCTATAACTAAGACTCACTTCTCAGTAGCGTGTGAGCCTGTACACTGGTTCAGACACTACACTACTGATCTCATACCATTGAATTGCCTTGGTTGGTATGTATACTTTCCACACATCTCTGCCAGCCTTGGCATTAGACTGGTAGTCTAGTGCTCAGCGATGTTGTGATGC